GATAGCCTGGAGAGCAAGCTGTATGTCTGCTTCATTAGAGAGCTTTTTTATGTTGCTGCGTTGAGGCATTGTTAGTAGAGTGAAGTTTGGTGTGGTCTTGGCAAAAGTGACCGGTACACTTGGGTGACCGGCATGCTTGTGGAGTACGTTACACGCATAAATAGTTAGTTTAAAGAGTTTCTAAGCTAAAGGGGGTGTGTTAGATAATAGCAAGTAGTGAGAAGTTAGATCTGCGCAATCAAGCAGGGACCTGTTGTGCAGCTAATCAGCAGTTGCCAGGTCAATTAAGCGAGACCTGGCAACTCCTGATTGGCCCGCACACAGGCGGCCGCGAACAGCGCTAATTCCCCCCCCACTTCAATCCTGTAGCAACCAGCACGACGCCACAGGAGACACCATCGCCACGATCATCAATAAATCATCATACCACCTAAGATCTCGTTAAGCACATACTCTGGCTCACAGTGCGAGCATCTGACAGGACCGCTTTTGCCAAGCCCCCACCAAACTGCACCCCATTATGGCCTAAAACAACCCATATTGGCGCTGCAAACTGCAGTACAGCCTGTAATATTATTCAGAAACTACTTCTACCTCTTTCTTACACGTTCGCGCGTTATGCCTAGTCTTACTGCACTGTCCACAGCGCCTTTGGGAAGGCTCACCTACTTCAGCGCGCACCTGCTTCTTTTCCTTCTTACCATCACCACACGCCCTAAACTCTTTTAGAGCTGTTAATTGCTAGCCCTCTTTAACTATTAGAGTACCTTCTTTCTAAACCTGCTTTCTTTTGTGTGATTTTTGTTGTGTGGCTACTTTATTAGCAGCTTAAAGCTTAGCAATCTCCTGTTGCGCCAATACTAGCTTATGCGCAATTATAGCTGCCCCCTTTAAGACCTTCTTAAACGCTTTAACTATAGAGGTAGGCAAGCTATCTATATACCTCTAAATCCTTGTCTTTATAAGTGTTAATTGTGACCTAAGTTTAAGAGTGTTGCTTAGGGTTTACAACTTCTAGAGCTTGTTGTTAACAGGTAGTAGTGGTGATAGCGTGCGCAGCTTCACATCAAGGCTGCTTGTAACCTGTTCTAGGTTAAATAGGACTAGTCTAGTGCCTTAGAACCCTCCCTAAATAATATTAGAAGTAATTGCAGCACTATAGGCGTGTGTAAAGCATGGTAGAAACTCTAACTTTGTGATATAGTTAATCTAGTTGTATATAAGTACTTTAGCTTAGCGCCTATACACCTTCTTTAAAGTAGCAAAACAAGATACATTAAGAGGCTGTGTAAGGTGTAATAAGTAAGGAGGCAAATAGAGAGTAATTATCTTATTATCCTTGCAGTACTGCTAGAATTTAAGAGAGTTGTGGCTCTTATAACTATTAATAATAAGTAAATAGTGGGTACTAACAGTACGCTCCTTTGTATGCCTATTAAAGTGGTTTATCTAGTCTAGACTAAGCTTGTTAGTAGTCTAGCTATTATTAGAGACTCTAATAACCTAGTCTTAAGGCAGATCCTCTTCTTTTTACTAGGTAGAGAGGTAGTAGTAGGCCTTAAAGATAGGGAAGGCTGGAATAGCCTATCCTTTAGCATTAATGCCCACTATAGCTGTAGCCTACTCCTAGTTGCCTAGCTGGACAGCCTTTAGTTAACCTTGTTGTTCTAAAGCTATAACAACTGCTCCTAGGGAGATCTAGCCTATTATAAAGCCTGTCTTGTTAAAGTTGTATATGTCTTTATCCTAGATGCTATACTTAGCTTTAGTGTTAGCTACAAGGCTAAACTAGCCCTGTAGAACCTTAGGATTCTTACAGAGGGCTCTCTTGTAGTTATACTTGCGATTAAACTTGACTATAAGCTCTAGGTGCTGCTTAATAAACATACTAGGCCAGTTTGTGCTAATAGGGCCTAGATTGCGCTTAGCGTGCAAAGAATTAGCTATAGTAGCCACATCTAAGAGCTATAGGGAAAATCCTTAGGCATCTAGCTTAAGAACATGTTCAACAATCACCCTCTCCTTATTGTTGTCCAGCTTCCACAAGTTAGCTATAGAATCAGCGCGTGAAGGTTGTCCTGCGCGTCGTCTGCGTAGTGTAGATTTTAGAGCCCCGTAGATAGCAGCAGCGCGTCGCAGGGATAGAGTTGTGTCTTGTTAAATAGCCTGGAGCGCAAGCTGCATCTGAGCTTCCTTTGACGCGTCTAACTGGTGTTGTTGAGGAGACATTAGTGTAGAAAGGGTGGTTTGGTGGGGGCTTGGCAAAAGTGGTCCACTCGTCCAGTGGTCCACTCGTCCGTGGGGTACGTTACCACATCTTAATCTAGAATTCTCTCCTCCACTACGAGGTAAGAGGCCTTAAAGAGGTTCTAAAGACTTAGAAGAAGCATAAGAAGAAGAGGAAGGTTCTGCTATTAGAACCTTATCAGGGTGGAGCCGAATTCTATTCTCTAAGTAGAGTAGAGAGAGCACGCTCACTTAAGAGAGCAAAACAACAAGACTAGGAGGCAGAAGAACTCTAAAAGAGTGAGAGAGCTAAGACAAGGAGTGCTAATAAGCCATACAACAAGAGAATTGTTCAGGAGAAGCGTGAGAAGCAGGCAAGAGAGAAGAAAGAGCGTGACCAAGAGCGTGCTAAGGAGTCCGAAGAAGTAGCAAAACGCAAGGCTGCCAGAGAGGCCCAAAAACACGATTTAAACGCCAAGAAAAGTACCCAATTGCCTAATTAGTCTAAGCAGCAGGACTCACGTTAATTGCAGCCAAACACAACAAAAAAGCGTAGTAGTAGAGGTAGTAGTACTCATGCTATTGATGCAACGCGCTCCCCATCACCACCACCTGTATACAACTCCTGTGGCCACAAAATTGCTCCACGCAAGAAGTTTAGGTAGCCAGAACAATCGCACATCTGTATAGATTTATCCTCTACAAAATCTCGTAATAAGAGCTATTCTGTGTAGCTCTACAGCCTCATGTTTGCAGGTGCTTGTTTTGGTGTTTCGGGGCATCACGCGAATCCGGGCATCACGCGCACGGACACGGTACGTCAGACGGGGTCAATGGAAAATCGATAAGGTGGAAAACAACGTCAATGCCGCGCTCTCGTGATTCGTCGCCTTCTCGATTTTCGTTCATTTTGCTAATATGAGTCTTTCGTTAAGGTTACTGCGACCAGCAATGAGAGCGTCATGCCGGATGACAAGGGCGCGGCGTTGGAGAGGGTACGCGACTGTGGATGTGCCTGCGTCGAAGCTCAGCTTTGGCCAGCCGCTGCATGAGACTCACCCCCATCTGCTGAAGCCTGGGGAAAGTGCGACCACCTACATCAGACTCGTATAATCGACTGCTAAATGACGATACAGTCACACCAAGTATCTCCGCACTCGAATACTACAATCGACGCCAGAATCTCGCCGACCAGCTGCCGCCGAACTCAGTCGCCGTCCTAGCTGGTTCAGATCTGAAGTACGCCTCGGGCGCTGTCTTCTATAAGTTCCACCAGGACCCAGACTTCCTCTATCTGACTGGTACATAACACACACATATCGCATTATTCAAGGTGTGGGTGGTAGCTAAGAAAACCAGGCTTCAAAGAACCAGACGCGCTTGCCATTGTCGAGAAGCGGAACGACGACGACCACATCTTCCACCTCTACGTACGGCCCAAAGATATCAAGGCTGAGATTTGGGAAGGCGCACGGTCAGGTGTAGAAGCTGCAGAGAATGTATTCAACGCTGATGTTGCCGGCGACATCAACAACCTCCATCGACTCCTCCCCGAAGTTATCACACGATCGAAGAACGTCTTCACCGACCTCCCAAATAGCCGCATATCGAAGAACGTCCTTTCGAGGTTTTTATCAGGCTCTGAGCCAGCACGGATAGGAGGCATACAGAAGGTCTTCCGTGATGCGCGGGACGAGAACGAGATGTCTATCAAACCTCTGCGACCATTGCTGAACGAACTGAGGGTCATTAAGAGTGACGCAGAGATTCAGAACATGCGCAGGGCAGGGAAACACTCCGGGCGTGCCATCACAGACGCAATGCGCCAGGACTTTACAACGGAGAAGGACCTTGATTCCTTCCTCGACTACTGGTTTAAGCAGGACGGCTGTGACGGCCCTGCATACGTCCCGGTTGTCGCAGGTGGTATCAACGCCAACACGATTCATTACGTGTCGAACGATATGCAGTTGAACCCTAATGACCTCGTTTTGGTCGATGCTGGCGCGCAGTACGGGAGCTACGTTACAGACATCACCCGCACATGGCCAGTATCAGGCAAGTTTACACCAGCGCAGCACGACCTATATACCCTGCTTCTTAATGTACAACGGTCCTGCGTTGCCCTGTGCCGCGCCTCTTCGCAAATGTCACTTGACAAGCTGCATCAAATTGCAGCCAACCAGCTCCGTGAGGGGCTTCAAGACATCGGATTCGACATGTCTGATGGCGCTATCCACAAGCTGTTCCCACACCACGTTGGCCACTACCTCGGTCTCGATGTTCACGACAGCCCAGGCTTGACAAGAACAAGGTATCTCGAGAAGAAAATGGTCGTTACAGTCGAGCCGGGGATATACGTTCCTGACGATGAAAGATGGCCGAAGTGGGCAAGAGGCATAGGCATGAGAATAGAAGACAGTGTCTGTGTCGATGAAGAGAGCCCATTGGTATTGACGACTGAAGCTGTCAAGGAAGTAAGTCTAGCATCGACCTAGCTTCAGCTAACACTGACACTCTGCAGATTGCAGACATCGAGGCACTGAAGGGCAGCGAGACTAAATTATAGACTCAAGGTGGCTGTAAAGCTGCACTGTAGCATACCGACATGTACAAACGACACAATAATCCACACAGGATCTGTAACGATTGGCTTCACCCTTCGGTAAGTCCGACCCCGGCCAAACCATCGCTATAACGGTCTCAAGCAGGAGAGATACGACATTTCACCACCAGCAAATTAGTGCCGTAGCCTATGTAATAAGTCACATCCTCTTCAGCATTTTCAACGCCTTCAGGGCAGCAGTCCTTTACCAAGTTCGTTAAAATTACCCTCCAACTGCTCCAAATTGCTTACACGCACCACTACCCCATCTCTACCTTCCCCTCTCCGTCTTATCTTAAGCGTGGAAGGATGAAACGCTCACCATAGTGCCGTTTCTAGCATCGTGGGCCCGTGCTTCTTGGTTGCCTCGACACTTCCGAGAGCCTGTATGTTCCGCGCGCCCAGGTACCGGTCTTGGTATACTTCGTCCCATCAGTAAGAGTGAGAGAATCGGTCCTCTTTGAGCGACATTTCAAAGCCGCTGTTCTTCGTTGTGCTAGATGCGAGGCCAAGGGTTGTAGGTTACCAAGATATATTGTACTTCTGCAGACAGTGGTATCAATTTACTCTCAGTCTCTCTTTTAGGTATATCCAGCACACCATGACTTTTGCGATCGTCAGAGGGGAAGGGGAGTGTCGTTCTGCAGCAGTTATATATCGCCCGATAGACGCGGGAGCGCACCACGTTCGCGAGCGATATTGCACAGCTTGGCGAGTTCCCAACCAAGGTGATTCGAGAGAGCGAGATGTTTGAACCTCTCTTCGAGACAGCAGTTACTCGCCTCGCGTCTTCAAAAGGTACGTGCAGATACCAGATATTGACCCTATCAATCCCAAGGGCCTCAGACTTGTCTCAACATGTGTGTCTTTATCGGCGGGGATGTGTCAGCCAGGGTATAGTACAAAGTCGCATTGTGAGCAGCCGTCACATACTGTATTAACTTAATTCAAATTGTGTAAGGCTATTAAAATACTGTGTTATTGTAACAACGCGCTGCCAACAATGACCCGATACCACTAGGGTACGGTCTAAAGACTTATGACCATGGCCCTTGTTGCATGGGATGAGGTCGCACCGAACTGCCTCTGAACCTCCCTGTATAAGGAGCTAGGAACTGTAGTAGAGTAGTTTTTCTGTATCATTTTCGTACAAGACCTATAGGTGTAGAGAATATATCCTGGTGTTCTTATCATCCCAGCACTCCTATATGCCTCGTAGCGGATTCACACCTATTCTTTATCTCTTTTCTTACCTGCGTCGTTACAGTTGTTGTATTGCAATTAATTCTTGTAGTGCCGACAAATCGCTAGAGCCTAGTGTTGCACTAAAATTCTGGGTGCCTAAACACTAGTCTAGCGGATGGGTAGGGTGGGCTTTTTTTTGTTTTTGCTTCTAGCTCCTTAATTAGTAGAGATACGCTTATGTAATGAATATTTTGACAGATGCGCCTAGTATTGCACTTTCTCTTCGAAAAATAATTACTCAATTTGGCTAACTATTAACTGAGTTATTAAGCCTACCTAGCAAAAGCCTACCTAGGATATGTATACTTGCGAGGTGCTCCCCCTTTTTTTACTGTCTTTTAGACCTGGCAGCTGTAATATTAGAGCTACAAGGAAAATTAATATAAAGGAAATAAACTTTATATAATTGTCTTTAAAACAAGCCCTTATTTGCCTATATTGCCTTAGTATTAGCTAAGTTAAGGGTAATACCCAAACAGGACATTAGACCGTACCTATCCGCCAGCCTACTAAACACCTGCCTTCAATAACAGGGCATCTTAGTAATCTTCTCCTGCACTATTTTCTGCTAAATCTAGTTCCACTTGTATCAGCGAGCTGCCTTAAGCTCTTTAATTAATCCTATTTAGTCTCGATCCTGCTTAACTTCCTCTTTTATGAAATTCTACATGCTCTTAATAGGGTTAAGATCTAGTGAATTCGCAGGATAAGAGAGGCTTACAACACTGTAATCTTGCCTATAGATTTCTAGGAACAAGTTAGCATTACAAGTGCTATGGTTAGGTTTTTATCCTCTTGCAGAAACTATTTGTATTGTTAATCTGCAGGCATGTTAGGCCTCAATGTGACGGGCTGGGCCCGCGCTAGGATCTCGGCGCTGGAGGGTCTCGCTTCTCGGAAGCCACCGGCACACAAACTAGAGGCTGTAACAACTCCCTGCCCGAGCACTATCGCATGAAGACTCCGCCCTGGAGGGATATAACTGCAATATGCCCCCAAGCTGGAGTCTGTGTTAATTCTATCTGAATTTTACTTGCACTATGCCCTTAGTAGCAAGCTCCTTACAATTGGAATTGTCGCAGCAGATATCATGCCTATTTACTAACCAATTCAGGGGTGCAAATGTATGTACATTTTGCCTCTATTTTGGCTGCAACAGGAATTGATTAAAAAGATAGGGCAATCTTAATTCTCTGTTTTCCACATTTGAGAAAAGCACTACTAATAGAAAGGACTATAGATAACGCTGTAAGTCGTCTTGATGCTTACGAAACAAAGCTCTGTGAGAGCAACAACAATCAACTAGACATCTATAACAAAATTTAACACTAAGCAGGGTTAATAGTCCCTGCTAAGTAGCGAGAAAATACCATCCGCTAAGCAATAGCAGCGCTTGCTACCTATCCCTAACAGATAAGTGTGGAAGCTGAGTGGTCTCTGATCGTTGATCAAGTGTGAAGAAAGTAATCAAGTTCCTTGTTCTATCTACGGTGCTGAATGAGCAGAATATATACACCAATGCTCATCCAGCTATACCCTAATTGGAGCCCTAATCACGGCTCCAAGCTGTACCTGATTTCGCTCACCATAGCGTGATAGATCGCCAGTGTCGGATCGGTCCAATCTCCAGATGCGGATCACGTGATATGCACCCTCACCTCGATCCTTGCTGCGACAATAAGTCTAGGGTAGAACACAGTCTCCCTTAAAGGAGACAACTACTAGACATTGGCGGAAGTAATATACAATCTGCAACAACTTAACCTGTCACATAAACATATCTAGCGCTTAGTAGATGCTAAAGTCCACACTGATATTAAAGAACAACAAGTCTAGCTTAGAAATGTAAAGTTATAAGACTTTGTTCTTATTAACCCTAAATGACTACCTAAGCATTGTCTTCATAATCTCCTAAAAGAGAGGATTAGAATGGTGTGCTTACAAAGCCTATATCTCCTCTCCTTCTTAAGATAAGCTGTTCTCTATTTTTAGTAACTAGACATGTTCTAGATCCTCTGCTTACAAATAGAGTAGCCTACTTTGTAGATGCTGATGTATACAAATACACATGCACCTACGTAATCTTGCTTGTATATGCAGCAATACTAAGCATAGATTACTAAGTAGACCTACCTAGAGGAGTCTAGAACGTTCTGCTTAGAAATATAGACAGAGGAGAGGAAGCATAAATACCTCTAGCTCTCCCCCCTCTGTTCGCTCTGTAATTAGCCTAGGAATCTCTACCTAGTATCTAATATAATAACGTGTCTATTATATTACATAAACCTACCTTATCTCTTTTATACTATACGCTTCCTATTTAGACAAAGCTAGTCTAGATTTGTCTAGGTCCTTCTAGACTAGGAAGAAAGTAGTCTAGTCCTTCCCCTACTTTCTTTACAGTATTAAATTCTACTTCTACAAAGTACAATAAGTTACTATAGAAAAGAGCTAGATGCTTATAACTAACAGGTTCTGAGGCCTATAGTAGGACCTCTACTTTATAGATTATAACACAGCAAAGTTAATTATTAAGGCAGTGTTAATATTTATCCTTTTCTTAAAGAATTACTATAATATCTTAGTTAAGACTATTAAGGCAGATTACAAGATAGCTAACGTACTCCACAAGCGAGCTGGCCACCCAAGCGAGCTGGCCACTTTTGCCAAGACCACACCAATACTGCACCTACTTTGCAACATTACAGCACATAACTATAATATATTATACTACACAGTATACTAAACTAGTCTGTAGTACTCTGTGTATCTTTCCTGCATGTTCGCGCGTTGTGCCCTGTCTTGCTACATGTGCCACAGCGCCTTAGAGACTAAGTGCTCCTATTAACACGCGACCTCTTCTTTGCCTTCTTCCTATTACTACAGGCCTTAAACTCCTTTAGAGTAGTTAGCCACACTCCCTTAGCAAAGACTAGAGTCCCCTCTTGCTGTAATTGCTTCCTTTTGTGTAATTTACAACGTGTGGCAGCCTTATTGGCTGCCTGTAGGTCAGCAACCTGGTTGCGCACTAAAACTAGTGAATGCGCTATTAGCTCTGCGCCTTTAGTGAGCTAATTAAGAGTGTTAACTATAGACGTTGGCAAGCTATTAGCATGTCTCTAAATCCTCTCTTAAATCAGCTTTAATTAAGACCTAAATTCTAGGGTGTTGCTTAGTGTTTTAGACTCCCACGTAGGCTGGCGGATGGGTAGGGTATGCTTTTTTACGTTTTAGCTTATAGCTTCTTAACTAGCAGAGATACGCTTACATAATCTATTATTCGATAGAAGCGCCTAGTATTGCGCCTTCTAATAAAAAATGAATTAGCTAATTCCGCCTAGTATTAGCTAAGTTATTGACACTACCTAGCAAAGTATACCTATTAATGGGTATGCTTGCTAGGTACCCCCCCTTTTTTAACGTTTTCTAGCCTCTAGCTTGTGCAGTTTAATAGTTATAACAGAACCTTCTACTACAAAAATGTAGAGGTGGTTTTTCTCTTTCTTTTCAGCCCTAGTTCGCTAGAATCCATGTATTATTGATAAGGTTTTGGGGGGTACCCACGAAGGACGTTGGAGTATACCCATTCCGCCAGCCTACTCCCACGTACTGTTGTCCACAGTAGGTGGCGTTGGTGTGCGCAGCCGTACTTCAAGCTTTAATAGCACAGCCTCTAGGTTAAGTAGGACTAGGCCAGCACCTCTGAATCCCCCCTAGATGTTGCTCTCTGTGATTGAGGCGTTAAAAGCCGCTTTGAAGCACAGCAAGAACTTAAGTTTGGTGATGCGACTAATCTTGCTGCGCATCAGCCGCTCGGCTTGGCGGCCATAGGCCTTCTTCAATGGGGCAAAACAGCCTACGTCAAGTGGCTGCAGTAGGTGCGACGAGTGTGGAGGCATACACAGGGTAATAATCTTGTGTTCCTCGCAGTACTAGTAGAATTTGACTAAGTTGTGGCTCTTGTAGCCGTCTAGAATAAGCAGCTGATGGCTGCCAACAGTGCGCGCCTTTGTGTGCTTATTAAAGTGCTTCAACTACTTAACTCTAAGCTTGTTGTTAGTCTAGCTGTTGTTAGAGATATTAAGAACCTAGTTGTTAGGTATACTAGGCTCCTTATACTAGGCAGAGAGGTGGTGCTTGCTAGAGAATATAATAAAGGGTGGGATAGACCAGCCCTTCGCGCA